TTGAAAGCGATAGCTGCTGGGTCATGAAAAAGTGGCTATGAAAAATAAGGAGGCTTTACTTAGTCCAATCTACTACTGAAACTGGAAACTTATTTAGAAAATGCTAGGTTAATATCTTTAATCCATACTTAAGCTTAAGAGCCTCTGTGTTACTTCTGATACCTTCTTATAAGCTTAGGAATTTTGCATCTTGTTTATAAAATGTGCATTGCTTGTATAAAACTTGTGATGCCTGCTGAATCTTAATGATAACTTTGCGGGCAAAAGTTGTATATTGTTTGCTAAAAGAAGTTTCATGATTGATCCAGAGCTCTGTTATTGGCTGCAGAGGCCTTTCCTGAAGGGCCTCTGATGGCGAAACGGAGGCTGGGGGTAACGCGTGCTTCAATCCGGACTTGGTTTCTCAGCTGTAGAGGCCTTTCCGGAAGGCCTCTGACAGGAAAACGGAGACTGAGGTGACACACACAAGCGGCAGTGAGCAGCCACAGAAGAAGTGGGCCGACAAGGCAGGTGTCAGGGTGCGTGAGGCCTGATAAGTAGGGCAGCTCCACACACACAGAGACACACACACATCCATCCTAGCTTAATTTTTATCCATGCACCTCGCCCTACCCCATGCCCCCCAACTGGACGTGGTCTTAACTAGGGCTTATTTTGGGGGTAGAGCTTATATTGGGCATACATGTAAAATCAAGCTAGGGCTTACTTTCGGGGTAGGTCGTATTTTCAGGAAAATACAGTATATATAATCAAGACAGCATAATTGGGGACATATATAATGAGGAATGCTGAATTCATAAGTTAGGTATGTGATTGATTAGATTTACAAAGATAACTGTTTAATTAATTGTAATGTGGGGGTTATCGTTGAGTCAGATTTATGCACAGAATACGTGTTGCATGACCTGAAACTGCAGTTCGGTTTCATCTCAGGGTTAGTTCTTGGTGTTATTTCAGTTCCTCCTGAGCTTCATCCTCTTATATTCTCATTTTCATTTAGTACTGAAAATACAGGCTCAACTGTCCCATATCTCTTTTGGACCAAATTAGTATAGAATAATATGCAGTCCTTAACTCACTTTTATAGTTGGCTTAGTTTACTTTTTTACCAGGAAGTGACTGAATTTCGCTTTGCAGATTTCCAGTGGATGGTTTAGGTGGAGCCCCAAAACAGAATGAAACAATCATTTAAATCCTCAGGGATCACTTCTACATCTCCTTAATTCTGTGACCTCTGGCTTAATGTCATCTGTGTTGGTGTTTTGTCAAACATACTTTTGCATTACTCAAAAACAGGAAAAGGGTTCTTCAGCAAGTTTTATTCAGATGTTAGGGAGGTAAAGGTATGCTCGGTGCAAATTTAAGATTAAAATATGCATGTAAAGTTTCTTATGCTGACTTTTTGTTTCCTGATATTTTCTGGCACCTCCTCACTATTTAATTTTCATAAGAGGGTACAGTATCCTTATATGCATCACCAACATTCAAGGCAGTGGTGAAATCCAATTTTTTTTACTACCGGTTCTGTGGGCGTGGCTTGGTGGGCATGGTGTGGTTTGGTGGGCATGGCAAGGGAAGGATACTGCAAAATCCCCATTCTCTCAGCACTCCTAGGGGATGGATATTGCAAAATCTCCATTCCCACCTCACTCTGGGATGAGTCAGAGGTGGTATTTGCTGGTTCTCTGATCTACTCAAAATTTCCACTACCGGTTCTCCGAACTACTCAAAATTTCTGCTACCGGTTCTCCAGAACCTGTCAGAACCTGCTGGATTTCACCCCTGATTCAAGGCCAAATATGTGTATAAATCATGTGGAAGGAATCAAGCTTCTCTCAACTTCCTTTTCTTTTTTCCCTTCCCTTCAATATTTCTGTACTCCAAAGAACTTCTGAGTATTGAGAATGCAGATTTAATATTTTCAATCCAGTTTTAAATACTCCCGTGATCAATTCTACCTCCAGTGTTGTGCCAGCTCAGTTCAACTCAGTGAAAGCTTGCTGGAAGTAAATCTTAACAAGTGCATGTTCCTTGGAAAGTATTTTTAGCATAGACTAAATATACATTTACTGGTATCAAACTATATGCAAATTCAATAGTGCATATTTCTTGAAAAGTATTTTTTAGCACAGATTAAAATATACAATTACTGGCATTAAAATATATGGTGTGTTTTTGTGGGCCCAGTAGAATTATCATTTGAATATGAAATTAACTATTTAGGTATCACTGAACATACTAATATTCTGCCAATGCATTGGGGGAATTCATACAGCTCAGAATCTGCCCATTAGCTTTTCATCTATTATTTGTTTCCAAGCATTACAGTTGAATAATAATGTCTTCTGTTGGGAAAGCTATTAATTTCCGTTTATAATTCTCGGCTCTTTCTTCTTGGATTCAAAATGGGCAGCAGATACATTATATCTAATCCTTTACTTAATAACTTTAGAAGATCCTAAACATTAGTAAATTTACACTGTTGAATTCAACAAGATCTACAGAATGTATTTATTCTTACTCTTTGGGTTTTTATGGTATTTGTGGTAGGTATAATGGTTGTAATATATGGTACTTTGAACTTGATTTTTTTTCACTGTGGATGTTTTAATTTCATGTTATTGCTGTTAGATTTATTATCTTGGTTTTCTATTGTATTTATATATTTACACTACAGTGCACTTGTTTTTCAATTTTGCAAGCTACCATGGGTTTGCAATAAATAAATACAGGAAATTGTATTTATATATTTACATTACATCACAATTTTTTTCAATTTTGCAAGCCATCATGAGTTTGCCATAAATAAATACAAGAAATTACTTATAGTGCTCTTCATTTGCTTATTGTAAATTTTACGTCATAGCATAAATCCTTCTTTTATTGATGGCTAAATCTAATTATACTAAGAACCCTGGTTATACTTTCCTACAATTTTAAGTTTTCCTAGTGCCACTGCACATTCCGAGAATGTTAAGTTTGTATTTTTTATATTAGTTGCAGACAAATAATCTACCTATATCTAGTTTTCATCTTTACTACTGAACATATAATTGTTTTGAATAGCAGTACAAAGGAGAAGAAATGAACAGGAATAATTTTGTTTGTAAAATGGCTGACACTGAAGCCATGAAAGCTGATTAAACCTTACATTAAACATTACGTTACATTTCTAAATAGGAAGCAAATTATTATTTTTTATTGCCCATCTTAACTGAGGAGAAATCTGGGCAGCTTACAATCATAAAAGATAAAAATTCTATAAGCTAAAAGACAAGGGGACAGAGAATGAGGTGGCTGGATGGAGTCACTGAAGCAGTCGGCGTGACCTTAAATAGACTCCGGGGGATGATAGAGGACAGGAAGACCTGGAGGAACGTTGTCCATGGGGTTGCGATGGGTCGGACACGACTTCGCAACTAACTAAAGACATTAATAAGTTAATATATAAAGCCGAACACTGCACCCCAATTAAAGATAAGGAGGATGAGAGAGATGGGGGGGGGAGTGAGATCTATTGTTAATTTATCAACCATCTCCACCATGATGCTCCCCCTTTGGAACCCTAAGCCAACTGGCAGACCTAGTTTTTTAGGTTCTTATGGAAGTTTGGGAGAGTTGGAGCTAACCTCACTCCAGGGAACAAGATGTTCCAGCGCGCAGGTGCAATGGCAAGGAACGCCCTTCTCCTGGACCCTGCTAGCCAGAATACTTAGGATGACAGGATCTGCAGTATGCTTCCCATGCCAGAATGGGTGTGGTTGGCTAAACCCACCAGGATTAGATGGTCCAAGGAGCCTGGACCCCAAATTCACAAAGTATGGCCATTTGTATGTTCTCTGCCCCCTTTTTAGTGGTTTGATTATTGTGTAATTCAGGGGTGTCAAACTCACAGTGGCGTCACATGATGTATCGGATTTTTTTCCCCCTTTGCTAAACCGGGTGTGGACATGGCCTGCATGTGACACATCCGGGTCGCAGGCCGCAAGTTTGACAGCCCTGATGTAATTGTATTACATGCTGGCTGCGGAATTCTGGGAATTGAAGTCCACACATCTTAAAAATTGTCAAGTTTGAAAAATGCTGGTTTACAGCTACTGATGTGACACTTTCTTATTGAAGATTTGTGGATTGACTGTGGAAAGGGCTTTGGTCAAGGGTGCCAGTTACAAGATGTTTTTCATCATGCAATACTCACTTACTAGAAAGTGTGTCCTGTATAACAGGTCAAATCAAACTATTTTATAGTTCTACTATGATCTGTAAAATCACTAAGATCTATTCTCCACTATTGGAGTCACTACACCTATGTAGTAGTTTACATTCCATCTCCACAAAGCATGTAAACCTGGGGAAAGTCACAATTGTTTGAAGGGATTGCACATAAATGCTACTCTGGGCTCCTATACTCTTGGAGTTCCCATACAAAACACCAGATTGCCTTCATAGTTTTATTCTGTATCATATTTGATTTCTTCAGGTAGATAAGAGATATTTAGGTCCAGCAGAGTAAATGAAAATAGAGCTTGCTCATTTTCCCCCCTTTGTCAAGTTCTCTTATTATATATAAAAAGGGGGATCAGAAACTTGAAGGTAACTGTATAGTAGTTTTAGCTGTAAAAGTTGGGCCTTAACATAGTGTACAAATTCTGCAACATTACTGTAATATGTGTTAACTCAAAAGAAAATCATGATGTTTAATGAAATGTATCTAAGGTACAATGTGCCTAAGGTTGCAGGTCTAATTTGTAAGACCACATGTCTCATGAAGATATTTTTCATGAAAAAAATATCTTGGGAAGGAAATATAATTGGGAAGGAAGCTAGATTATTTTACACCAGGGCAGTATAAGGCAGATTTTTATTAATTTGATTCTCTATTGCTGAGACCATCAAAGACTCTGACATGGAGTCAGATTGACTTTTTTTTTTTTACTAGATATTGCTCTTTCTGTCACAAAAGTAAACTAGATCTGGTTCTTTTTGTCACCAAAGAAAAATAATAGCCACATTAAACTTTTATTGTATCAATTTATGATCAACAGAAAATAAACAATGGACCTGTTCAGAGAGCAAGTCAAAAGAGTTTGCTTGTACACAGGATAAGTAATCATCAAACAGGAGGAAGTAAGCAGAACAAAAAGAATACAATTTCTTCATATAATTAGCTTACCTCCTTTTTCCTTCTTTAATTTTTGTTCTTAAGCAAAATTTTCTATTTAAATGTATCTTTAATAGTGAACAGTGCGAACATCTCATTCTTTACTTAGTACATACAATTCAGGAATGTTTCCTACGTTCAATAAGGATGAGTTTTAATATAGTGTAGCTTGTCAGAGTACATATAGCAACAGAAAACATTGCAACAATTCTCTCAAAAACAGAATTGTTCAAGAGAAAAATGAATCATACCTCGCCAAGAAAAAAAAAGGGAAGAATTGACCCTACCATTAGACAAATGTCAAGCAGCTGTCTTTGAAACTGCTACAAATAGTTAACTACTATATGTAATTTATCTTTGTTGTAATGTTATTGCCAGACAAAGATAAGGCACTTCTTAGGCATCAGTATAAAATTAACTTGACTGATCTCAGTTATTATATGTTTATGAAATCCCCGACACGTTTAAAATATCACTCATTCTTTGTATTTTAGAGTTGTGTCTCTCAATATCAGCAACTTGGTGGCATGGTTGCTGGGGAATTCTGGGAATTAAAATCCACAAGTTTTAAAGTTGCTGATGTTGAAAAAGATTGATTTAGACAGAATGACTACTGTCTTGTTTGGAAACTAGGATTAAACAACTCTAAATACCGATTGCTGTTGGCTAATTTGTATCTATGACAAAAATTACTTGTACTTTCTACCCTATCAAATATATTATTTTTCTCCAGACAGCTTCACTTAAAGATATCAATATGAATTATATCTATAATTCACAACTGGAAAGATCCTTCACTTAAAGCATTTCCTCTGCCTACTTAGCCATAAACATTACAAAACACAAGATAAATTATACCAGAATGACATAAAGTTATCATTTAAACAAAATGTACCAAATCAATAATGTTCTGTAAAACCCTCTTTAACATGCTTTTGAAACAGCTTATAAAAGCAAACTGTTGTTCAACAGAGCTAAATCGAAATCCATTTTTTATGTTCTTAACATGATTATCCTTCATGATTTTCAACGTATTCTTACTAGTAATATTTAGTTGTAAGTTATGCAATTGAGAACCTTCATTTAGATTTCCTTAATTCATTAGCAAATAAAAAGAGCAAAGAAAAGACTGAATTAGAACTAGAGTGAAGTATGGAGATAGTTCATTTGGGGTCTGATTTTTTGAGGACAGGATACAAGCAAAGCATCTTATCACTATGTTAAAACATGTGTAAACATACAATCATTTAAAGGATACATATGCAAAGTAAAAAAATATATATTGCACATGTACATTAGTTTCTGTTTCTAGGGAACCAAGGCATTTTGAATGCAGAGCAAGGCTTGGTGGTGGTGCTATTCACAATCCCTTATAGTTAATAAAAATGTAACATGATCTTGATCTAATTAATCCATACAACACATTAGAAACACGTTTCAGTAACTTCAGTGAAGTAAAAAAAACAAAAAGTTTGCAGAATTCCAGGAGAGCAAAATAATATTTCCTTGTCTTCCATATTCTCCACGTCGAATTGTTTCAGAAACCAGAGAACAATATATTGAAATATTTAGGACAGTCAAAAAGCACCTCCAAGACTTTAGAAACAGTCTCCTAAAAACTTCTCACATTTGTTCCCCTCTGTCTCTGCCTCTCTTTCTCCTTTAAAGCAGCAAATAGTAAGCCTTGTTCATATTGTTGTTAAAAATTCAGAATACAACATCTTCCTTTGACGATTCCTTTGTTAAATCTGGTGAATCAGGAACAGGATCTGGAAAATATTGACAACATACATTAATACATTCAACCTAGATTTTGTTGTGGTATTAGTTATTTAAATGTGAAGACTGCTTAGCCCATTTCTTCTCACCCAACAATTAAAAGTAAAGGGGGAAATGGCACCAATAAATGGGAGCAGTGGTCATTTCCCATTAAATGCCTCAGAAACCACAGTCAGCCTACAAAATTCTTTTGTCCGGTGTCCCCTGCAGAAGCAAAAGTAATACCTTCTTCTGATGGCTTACAAACCAACCTACTTATCATATTATAAACTCTTATGAAATGACATGAAATGCATTCTAATCTAAATTCAAGAAAAGATTGCACAACCATTGGCTGAGATTATATAAGGACTTGGGCAGGGATTGGACAAGGTCCCTTCCAACCAGTGGTGGGTTTCAAAATTTTTTACTACCGGTTCTGTGGGCGTGGCTTGGTGCGTGTGGCATGGCTTGGTGGGTGTGGCTTTGTGGGCATGGCAGGGGAAGGATACAGTAAAATCTCTATTCCCTCCCCAATCCAGGGGAAGGATACTGCAAAATCCCCATTTTCTCCCTTAGCATCTGGGACTTGTGGGAATAACACTAGAAAGAAAAAAAGGTTCTTATTATTTTTTTATAATTTATATGTTTTAACAGTGTAAGCCACCCAGAGTCACCTTGTGTGAGGTGAGTGGTGAATGAACGAACGAATGAGCGAACGAATGAGCGAATGAAACAAGAAAGTTTTTCACCAATGGTAGAGACCTACATACATAGATGCTTGCTGCTAGCTATTAGCATGCACTCACCCTGCAATTAAATACTTACCAAGTGATGGGAAGAAACATTCTCCCGGGGCTGGAGGCGAGAGAGGGGTATTTGGCTCTGAGAGAAGATGTCGGTCTGACTCTGAAGCCTGACGACTCGCCATAAATGATAATTGTGGCCTAATCCTGGATTCTGACTCTACATCAGGGACAGCATCAAAGACGGGATTCTCAATGCCATGGGCGTTGCTGCAAAAGAAAGCCGAGTCAGATAATCTCATCAAAGTCAAGTCCCAGCCTTTTACATTCCTAGCAATCCAGACACTTTAAAGCACAATGTCAGAAAACTATTACTATAAATATAAAAATTTATTTCTGATTCGGTGCTATTGATGGGGGGTGCAATATGAGATGTGTTGAGGGATCAGAAAATGGGCAAGATAGAAGCAAATTAGAAATCTATTATTATTTTTAATATTTTAAGCTAAATTTATGCCCTAAAAAAATAACCCTCTACTTATGCATTGCCGTGGTGGCTCGGCGGTTAAAGACACTAGGCTTGTCAGCTAGAAAGTTGACAACCCAGGTTCAAGACCCAAGCACCGCCCAATGGAGTGAGCACCCATTACTTGCCCCAGCTCCTGTTTACCTAGCAGTTTGAAAGCATGCAAATGTGAATAGATAAATAGGTAGCAGTTCGGTGGGAAGGTAATAGCGTTCCATGCACCTCAGCATATAGTCCTGCTGGCCACATGACCATGGGAGTATTGTTGGATTGGCTCCCTCAGCTAAGAAATGGAGATGAACACCACCTCCCTAGAGTCGGACTGAACAGGGGAAACCTTTACTTTTTATATACTGACACCCCCAATAGTCTTTTATATTATTATTTTGTGGCCTGAAAAAGAGAATGGTCAAGTAAAGGCTTTAATAATGTCATACCATGTCTAGAAAAAAACTGATGATGGACATTGGACAGGCTTCTGACTAAATAAGCGAAGGCCTAAGCCAAAAAGTAAATCAGAGCTTTTTTGTTTTCTTCTGTAGTAACAGGCCTGCTTTGCATTATGTCTGCCCTGAGGATGTTGCCTTATTCAAATTAGGGTTTTCCCCAATTGCTGGGATAAAGTTATTATGTCAGCAGAAAATAAGACAGCCATGATATCCTAATGCTGACTCTTAGCCTTTTTCTATCCTCTCTCCTTCAAGTCATTGCAATCATCTTGGTTTTCCTCCATGTAACGGATGAAAAAAAATTAATGGGTTTAACAGCTGTCCTTGAAGAGCATGAGAGAAGGAGAGAGACAGTCCTCCTACCAATGCACAGTATGGAGCTTGCTTGCCAATTCACCATTCTTCCTGGAGCTGTGAGGAGAGATTTCTGCCTCCATAGCTTCCATCCATCCATCAACCAACTGCTAAGCGATCATAGATCAAATAATGCCAATTTTAAGAAAATTGATTTCCAGCTAATTCAAGTTCAGTTCAAGACACTCTCTTGACTTTTCACATCCAAAATGGCACAGTCCCAGAGTTTCTCAAGAAGCGTCTCAGAAATGTCAATATCTAGGTGACCTTATCTGGGCTTGAAAACTAGATCTGATTAACACTTGGATGAGAACTCTCTGGGAAAGAAGGGCTGTTAAGCTAGAAGCGGTTGGAAAAAAAAACTTTCTGGCGTAAGTCAGTAGCAAACTACTTTTGAACTGCTACTAAAAATTTGTATGATATGGACATATCTATAAAGTCATTAGGAAGCAGTGCAACTTAAAGAAAATTTTATTTTACCTCAGGGAGTAAGTTAGCTAGATGAAAAGTCTTTGGTAAGTCAACTTTCTTAAAAAATGTGAAGAGGCTCTGTGCCAAACACTAATGGAAATGTTTCACACAGCCGAGATGTTCTGAGGTGACAGCCTGGGTAGGTGATTCAGTGGCTAAGACACTGAGCTTGTCAAATCAGAAAGTTCGGCAGTTTTTCATCTCTAGTACAGATCTCCTGCGTGAACAGGGGGTTGGACTAGATGACCTCCAAGGTCCCTTCCAACTCTGTAACTGTTATCGGTGGCATCTTCTTGTTGAATTCCTCTTTAAAGAAGATCTGCCAGACATGCATCCTTCAGACTCTTATAAGTAGGAGACTTTTGAAATTGGTTTGATTTCTTTTGTTTGATAAGGCTTAATTTATTGTATCACCCACAATGTGGTTTTGCAATAACAAATATATGGTACGGTTCAAGGTATTTGCTTACCTATCCATCCTTACGAGTTCGTGAGCACCTGCAAAAGCAAATACAATTTTGTTACAGGAAGAGTAGGTAGTCCTGCTTCACTACCATTAGATCCCAATATTTCAACCACAGGAAAAGTATCATTCAGTCCCTTGAATTAAACACAATCCTTTTGACCATGGGTTTTGTTCAATAACCAGGGGGTACCATCATGCATTTAAGAGAATGGAACCCTTTTCTATTTCCTCAACAGAGGCTGTTTGCTTTGCTTTCCCTAAGCAACTAATTCTGTTGTCTTTGGTCCAATTCTTGTTGGCTTGGTGATTTGAACTAGACGAGTAAAAAGTACTCATTCATATGGCATACAGATACTTGACCCAAATGGTTCAGGAGCTGAACCCTTTATTTCACCCATTTAGATTGCGTTCAGGAGCTGGATCCTTTATTTCATTCTTTTATATTGTGTTCAGGAGCTGAATCCTTTATTTCACCCATTTATATTCCTGTAAAAGGCATCTATGGAATGAAACTAAAGCTAAAACATAGCCAAATCATTACAACACAGTGATCTGCATTACCTAACCTCTCATTTGCAAAGAACAGATGGTACTATTCAAGTCGTATCCAAAACTACCCCTCTAGTTTTAAATGCAGAAGCTTTCACAGGTATACACAGGTCTGTAGATATTTCCTGTCGAAAAGATCCACATGGAACAATAAAATGAAAGTCCAGCAGCCACCTATTAACATGAATCTGATAACCTAGTAGGTGTCCACTTTGGCTCTATTACTCTTTGTTTATTCTCAGTCAATGGAAATATGACAATATTTACAGGAACCTTTCCTAGCCTACTATCTTTAGGGCACGCTGGATTACAATTCCCTTCGCCAACAGCTAACAAATGAGTTTTCTCTGAAGGTGTGAACTTCTGAGTTGAAGTTCTGAAGTCTGAGCTATGCAAAACATTTGGACAACTTCAAGTTAGGAAAGATGAATCTAGTTGATATTGGTTGTTTCATCACATTTTGACACATTACTAAAATGATATAACATAGTTTTACAGCAATATGAAGCAAAATTTGATCAGAAGTGGTTATTTTTAGCAGTACAACAAACATCAGATTTTTTTCACCTTTGAAAATCTTACTTATTTTAAAACCAGTGTGCCACTGGTTTTAATAATGTAATTATCACCTAATAGATTTCTAAACAGAGATCTTTCTAGGCAGATTGCTGTGGTTTCATATTTAATTTGTTTCCTGTAAACACAAAAAGAATTTAGCTCTTTTGCAGTGTATTTTGAGACTAGAAATTGTTCACAAATATTTAACTTTAATATACTGCTCAAAAAAATAAAGGGAACACAAGCAGAAGACATCCGAGATCTGAATGAATGAAATAGCCTTATTAAATACTTTGTTCGTTACACACAGTAGTTTTGTGTTCCCTTTAGTTGTTTGAACAGTGTATAAACTACTGTATGTAAAGAACAAAGTATTTAATAAGGCTATTTCATTCATTCAGATCTCGGATGTCTTCTGCTTGTGTTCCCTTTATTTTTTTGAGCAGTGTATATTTCGTCAGCATCTTACCTGTGCTACTTTAACACAAGATACTGTATGTAGACATTCAATGGTGCATATAAAAATGAAAGCAAGCTAAATCCAGATTTAGAATAATGAGCTTCAACATAAAAAGGTCTTCCCAGTAATGGAAATTTCCTATTTGCGTGAATGAGTAACTACAGAACAGGGATGGGCAAAATGATAACCTGTGGACCAATTCCCAGAATTCCTGAGCCAGCCTCTAGACTTCTCCTTCTGCCTACAGTATAGTAAAACTGTTGGTGGGGGAAGAAATAAAGAAAGAATCCACCCAAAAATCATTTCTCACTGGAGGAACACATAACCTCCCACTAGAAATCCTATTACTTCCCTCTTTGATTTTCATGTGAGATGGCAGCAATATAAATATGATAAATAAAATTGTCATTCATGTAATAGGGCATGCAATAAATGGGAGGAAAGGCAGTTTTATCACTTTACGTGGAATACTGAAATAAAGAATCAAAATAGTGGCAAAAAACCAGGGTTAATCCAGATACTTACGCCTGTTATTAATTATTTGCCTCTGTTTGTAAATAAGGAGTAGGATGAAAGGCAAACACAGAATGCCTATAATGCAAGCCGCTGTTGTAATTATGACTGCTGTGGTATCTGAAAAAAAATAACAACAACAAAAAAAAACAACACCACAATATAGAAATCAGAAAGGAAGTACATTTTTCTACTCATTGGGAGTTGTGGCCTCATTTTCTGAGTTACAGTTATTGACTGAGTCCTCCTATTTCTCTGCTAATTTATATCCGAGGTGGCAATTCTGCAATTTCAAGGGAATCCCGTAAAATAAAACAGATTTCCTCATTGTAAAATTTGATTTATACATCCAATGAATGGGAAGCCATTCTAACAGGGAAAAGTAATCAGAGACTCCAGATATTTTAGAATACAATCAGCATAGCCAATATTGAAAGCTAATGTGATGAACTTGAATGCAACAACCCCGTGCTCAACTGATTTGCAAAACCTGATTTATTTGTGTCTTTGAGTCAGTTTTGACTCCTGACACCTAGGACTGAGGTAGAGTTACTAGCCAACCAGCTGGCTTCATGATTAAGGCAGAACCAGAACTCATCGTCTCTCAGTTTCTAGCCTACAGAAAATTTGTTCTTAAAATATTTTGGAAAATGCATTGCATTACCTCTCACTTGCTAAGTGAGCATTTTAATTTCCCTTCATTTATTTTTAAAATAAAAATAAATATTTTACATTTCAGACTGCATTATTTAAATGGAAACCATTTTAAATATCCCCAGGTAATAAAGACCACTGTTTTTATGATAGAAATGTAATTAACAAATACATTCTTCAAGTGGAGATATTGAAGTAATTTCCGCCTATTGTTAATCTACAGTTATTAGATCAATTATTTATCTCTTTCTATTGTATAAGGTTGGGGTTGAACTCAGGAGCTTTTAATGTAGTTTCTCATGTTTGGAGGTGAACATTAATTTAAAGTTATTTTTAAGTTTTAAACTTAAGTGCAATTAGTGCAAACAAGCTACTCAAATACAGCCTATGCTTGTTTCACTAACCATATTTAAGATTATCAGCAGATTAGCATTTTATATTGTGGTAAATTTAAAATGGAAATAGGCTTGACAGCTCCCTCTGGAAGGAGAAGGAAGGGAACCTACCAAGTGTGACCTGAATGAGTTCTTATAATGCTAAAAAAAAAACCAGTGTTTAATTTCTTCCCACTGTATAAACCAGTATTAGCCAGAAGGCTTGAAAAAAACAAGGTGACATATTTTATTTATTGTTTACATCCATCATGTTCCTATATGGATGATTTCTCTCAATACTGCACTAACCTTCAAAGAGAAACCAGTTAATGTTGATTCAAATCTAAAATGTGTAATTTTAACATAACATAAATATATGTATAAGGCCAATACAGTTAGTCTGTGACTTACAACCGTTTGTTTAGTGACTGTTCAAAGTTACAACAGCACTAAAAAAAGTGAGTTGTGACCATTTTTCACACTTATGACTGTTGCAGCATTCCTCACGGTCACGTCATCAAAATTTGGATGCTTGGCAATTGGTTCCTATTTATGGCGGTTGTAGTGTCCCGAGGTCACGTGATTTTGCGACCTTCTGACAAGCAAAGTCAATGGGGAAGCCAGATTCACTTAACAAGTGTGTTACTAACTTAACAACTGCAGTGAGTCACTTAACAACTATGGCAAGAAAGGGCAAACAGAAAAGAACAGAACAGAAATTTGGGCTCAATTGTGGTCGTAAATCAAGGACTACCTGTAAAAACATCAGCCACTTCTGTTCTTCTGTCACTCAAACAAAGGTTCCCTTCCTACCAAAAACAGATCTCACTCTGACTCTGGTCTGCCATACACACACTTGAGCATCTTGCTGAAAACAATGATTAGTTTCTTAGGGACTAGGTGCCCTATTGCTTCCTTCAAGAAACCAGGGCTCATCCTTTCTTAAAACCTAATTAATTGCTGCCTGGGTCCAATTAATTTTCCCACACTCTCATCAGATAGAAGGCCATTTCAGAGCCACTGCTATGAGATGCGCGACCATAGGTTACATGAAAGCTATCACTACTGACTCAAAAGTTTATCTTATCAAATTGTACAGTATATAAAAGTCAAAATATACTTGACAGAAGTAATTTTTTCCTCAGTCTCACACTAAATCTGTTCATTAAACATGGTCAACCATAATAACTTTCTTCTGCTATTGGAGTGTCTCTTCACTCTCTCTGAAATGACTCTTTCAAAGATTCACACACACTTTTTTTTTTTTAAAAAAAAGCCTTTCCAGTAGACTCACTAGAGATGTTCTTCCTATCTTGGAAATCTGATTATTGCTGTCTATACCACATATATAGGAGATTTTGTTCTGTCCTCATTTATCAAAGAGAGGAAAAATATTTAAAATCTTGTTTTAACCTTCTTACATTTAATATTTTTTTAAAAAAAAAATATTTCATTTTACAACTTTATTCTTCTTCTGTTATTGTATTTGATGGTATCTGTTATAACCTTTGGTGACAACAATAAACTTTACTTAATTTCTATTCCACCTAAGGATTCCCATTGCTAAACATGCCAGATTTGCAAATCAGCCCCTCCTAGAAAAAAAAAACTACCGTATTTTTCGGAGTATAAGACGCTCCGGACTATAAGACCTACCTTTTTTGGTGAGGAAAACAAGAAAAAGAAATCTGCCTCTGCCTCCCAGCAATTTTGCCTTGTTGCCAGCAAACAGCCTGCTTTACTTTCATTTTCGTTTTCAGCATAGCTTGATTAGCACAAGAAAAAAAATCTGCTCCCAGCAATTTACCTCCTTGCAGCAAGCAGCTAAAGCCCGCGCAGCAATAGGCAATGGCAATCCCTGTAGCCTGAAACAGCTGAGAGTCAGGAGGCCGATCCAACAGACAATCAACTTGTGCTAATTAGGCTGTGCTGAAGCTGAAATGGGCTGTTTCTTCTTGCTGCTTGCTGCAAGGAGGTAAATTGCTGGAAGGCAGAGGCCAAAGGGTGGGGGCCAGTGGGTGGGCGGGGGTACATTCGATGTATAAGACACACCTAAATTTTCACCCCCTTTTAGGGGGGAAAAAGGTGCATCTTATACTCTGAAAAATACAGTAATTCCCTTTGAGAATTTGTAACACTCTCAATTGCTCCAATTGAGTTACTGTCTCCCACTTTGTCTTTGGATTACATTTGAAAAAAATACTATTTCTGTTTTAATTAAGAAAGAACATTAACAACACATAAGTAACATAAGTAATTTAGACTACTGATCTTTGATCCCTGTTGACATTAAATATCGTCATCTTACATTAGATGTGGATTATTCCGGTGTAGAAGCTAAAGATTTTCAAAGGTATAATGAAGAATGAGATAGGAAAGAAGATGGAGATTCAGAAGAAGATAGTTTATAAGATGAACAGCTTCAAAATAGGGAAAAATAAATAGGAGGAGATCAGACAGGGTGAAACTGGGAGTTAATATAAGGAGACAAGTGCAAGAATGAAAGATGAAACTCCAAAAACTTTAGCTAGAATGTCAAATTTTGGGGATTTATACTTTTGGGGATTTATACAGCTTCTTGGGGGGGAAAATGCAAGTATGAGTATATGGTAAAGCAGTCTTACTTTCCGTATTGTCATCAAGATGAAATGTACAGTTTGGAGACAACCCATTTGCTGTGAATTAAAAAAAACAGTAGTAAAATGTTAGTTTCTTGGATGGCATAATAAATAAATAATAAATAAAATTCTCATTCATTAATAAATTTTTAAAAACCTATGATATTCCTATCCCAGATGAAGCTGTTAGGGCATACCCCACAAAGTTGGAAACAGTTCAAAGATATGTACATCAGAGGGATGTGCTACAAAACGTGTAAATTGATCTGTTCTTTTTAATCTCGTGCATTACATTATTCTTCTAATGTTACAAATGAAAAGATTGCAAGTAGAAATTATCAATCACCTTAAAAAGAAAAAGGACTTGGGGGAGAGATATAACCAGAACTATAAAGGGAATATACCTTTTCCCTATGTAGATGGAATAAATAATCTGGTTTAAATCAAACTGATTTAAAATAATCACATGTGATTTAGTCAGGGAATTCTGTGTCTTTTTTAAGCATCCTATTAAAATATTTTAATTTTTTCTTTAAATTGTACTCGGTTTTGGTTACTGACCATAATAATATAATTAAGTTCCCTTAACTGGTCAGGGAAATTTGATAATCATAATTTCTAGAAAAATGCATTCCTATTTTGCTACCGGTACATTCTAATTCTTCACTACTCAAAAAGAAATGTGCATTTCATTTTTGAAAGTTGCATGTTGAATAAAGGTAATTAAAGTGACATGATGATGTCATTGGTATATATTTTAATAAATACATAAATCAAAGCATAAAGGGACTATTTGATCTGATATTTTTCAGGTCAATTCTCATCAGAAAATGGGATATGGATCATAATTTCAAACAAACAGATGCCTATAATCCTATTTATTTTGCACAATTAATGAGCCACGCTGGTGCAGTGGTTAAGAGTACAGCACTGCAGGCTACTTCTGCTGACTGCCCGCAATTTGGCAGTTCGAATCTCACCAGGCTCAAGGTTGACAGCCTTCCATCCTTCTGAGGTCGGTAAAATGAGGACCCAAATTGTTAGGGGCAATATTCTGATTCTGTAAACTGCTTAGAGAGGGCTGAAAAGCACTGTAAAGCGGTATATAAGTCTAAGTGCTACTGATATTGCTATATTATATATATATATATTATAATATATATTGCTCACCTCTGTGCAGCAACTTTTTAAAATCTTTAAGAAAGGGAATCTATTTTCATTATTACAAAACCTGTTTTTATACAGGAAAGAAAGAAAATGTCCCCTATAACTCCATTTTAAACATTCTCTTCTGTTTTGACGATCTTGGAATTTCATTGAGACCAATTCATCTCGCATTATACACATTCCTAGGAGAATGTGAAAAATAGAGATACTTAATTTTAACTACATCTGATTTGTGCATAATGTTGTACCTTTCTGTATACGAAGTTCCATGAAACCATAAGAATGGTGCAAGATATGCGGCTTGTTCTTTTCTTTCTTAGTCTCTATTATATAACAACAGTAATATCCTCTGTCCTGCAGAGTAAGATTTGCTATAGTGACATGGAAAGTGCCGCGATGATTTGAAAAGAACTCCAATCCATAATAGTTGACTTGATGCCCTTGGGCATATTTCTCAGCAGTGACATTCCCATGAAGTTGCCTATGGTGCATCTCAGCTTCATGATGAAGTTGCTTAGCAGTGATATTGTGGATATGCTTTCTTTGGGAACAGCTACGGTCGTTTTTGTTGCTGAAGTACCAAATGGCGAACAAATCATGGTGATTGGCGAGAACCCCACTGATTTTACAAGTCAAAGTGAGATTTTGACCTTCAGGACACACATAGAGCGAATAAGGGGTAATGGTTTCAAAGGTTGCCAAATGCACTGTGTAGAGAAGAAAATAGAATGTCAGAGTTATATCAAATAATGCAATACTGTTCAAATAAATGTACCGTATTTTTTGGAGTATAAGACGCACCTTTTTCCCCCCCTAAAAGAGGCTGAAAATTTGGGTGCGTCTTATACTCCGAATGTAGCTTTTTCAAAGCTTTTCAGCTCTAACGCGCTAAGAGTGAAGCGATTTTCCCAGCTTTGCCTATTCCCTTGACTCTCTGCTGTACTTGAACAAGGCGCTAGCAAGTGAAGCGATCTTCATGCTTTGCTCCAACTCTCAGCTGTTCTTTAGAAGCTTTTTTTCAGCCCTAACTTGGCGTTAGCCAAGTGAAGCGATCTCCCCTGTGCTTTGCCTGCTTTTCTCATTGCTGCTTCCTCTCAGCTGTGCCTTAGAAGCTGTTTTTTATCCCCAAGCAGGGGATAAAAAACCAGCAAATTAATGTGCTGAAGCTGACCAGACTAAGGACGCTAGCTAGATGAATACCTGGTAGGCAGATTTTTCCTTCTATTTTCCTCCCCCAAAACTAAGCTGCATCTTATACTCTGAAAAATATGGTAACTTCATCCTAGTTTCTGTTTTGAGTGAAATAATTCTAACTTCATTGAAATCCTACTTTCTGTGCTGTTAATATTTTATTTTAGCTTAATCATGGCTTTTTTGTGGGGGGTAGTCACTTTTTCAGTACCAATGGGGGAAATCATTTACTTAGCATTTTTTTAATCTCTTAAACTGTAGTTATACACACAATTCAGCACATGCAATCAAATATGAACAAAAAGGAAGAGGTGAATCAAGAGGAGCATACTGTTATTCAAACAAAATATTCTGGGCAGGATTTACCACTTCCACTTGTAGAAATGCTGAATATGTACGGTAACATTTCAAAATCGCCTTCTTGTATATTTTTGCACGGTTTTCTTCCTTTTTTGTCTCTTGATATAAACTACCTAACCCAGTGCCTGGCTAAATACCATATGCTTATCTTATCACATGAGGCCATATTGCTAAAAAGCATTTACTAATGCTGTATTTATTCTGTGTGTGTATGTGTGTGTGTGTGTAATTTTAATTCAGATTATCATAGAATAAAACACAAATGAAAATAAAGATAATGGGGAAATAGAGAAGGAAAAGAAAAGGGGAAGAGGGGTGTAAGATAAAGGGGAAAAACAAAAAGCATTTACTTCCATTTTTTTCAGCTCCGTAAAATAAAAAATAGAACTACAACTTTTTACTTTCACATACTTAGTAAATACTAGTTATTTCTATGATGACAAATTAATTAGCAAAACCCAAGTCAAAAATGTTTTCTGTCTCTAGCACAAAGATTAAAAGTGGCTTCTAGACAGAAACAAAACTAGATATTCTTTTCTCTGATTAACACTTCTAATTTTGTCTCTAATCCTTTTTTTTTTTAAAGTGCAAAGTGCATCTGCTAAATTAAAAGTTAAAAACTGAAGCCTGACAAACAAATAACAAAAACTTGCACACTACTATTTCCAGGCATGAATAAGATGAATAATTGAAACTGCCTTCAAGGAGGTTGAGAAGACTGTTACATAGTTTTATATTCCTTAATGTATACAGATTTAGAACTGTCCACTGATTCCTATTTTTGCAGTTGATTAGGGATGAAAATCAGGTCTCAGTAATAATATTGAATTATTTTAACAGTTGGAAAAAAGGACATTAGAAAAAATATATTGTTCAAGTTAGATCAATCCAGTTTCAGTTTATTAAAGAATGTGATCATAGACCAAGCACAGAAATTAAAACAAAAAAAGAAAAAGAACCAAAAATATATATTGTAACATAGTTAATTAGAAACCTGTTCATCATTATTTATTTACTTATTTAAATTTATGAGCCACTCAATTCCATTGAACTATATTCCATGCCTGAGCTAAGCTTAAACCAGAGGTCCTCAAACTTTTTAAATGGGGGGGCCAATTCACGGTCCCTCAGACTGTTGGGGGGCAGGACCAGCTGGGTGGGCGTGGCTAGGTGGGCATGTGACTGGGTGGGCATGGCCAATTTAGCAGTCCAAACAATAGATACAAATTAAACTTTAATTTGTTATGCTCCTGGGGGTGGAAAGGAGGTTAGTGAAGGGATGTGGCTGCCTTGGGTGTGTATGAGGGACATCTGTGTTTGTGTGTGTGTGTGTGTGTGTGTGTGTGTGTGTGTGTGTCTCCCCCCCCAATTTCTTTCTCCCCCCCCCATCTCTCTCTCTCTCTCTGGAGGCCGGGGAGGCCAAAAATAGGCCCATTTTTGGCCTCCCCAACCTCCAAAAGGCGGATAGGGGCCGGCAGGTAGGCGGGGCAATGTGGGCGGGGTAGCCTTGTGGTCCCGCGTGAGCCAGATTAATGGCTTCAGCAGGCTGTATCCAGCCCACGCGACGTAGTTTGAAGACCCCTGGCTTAAACGCACCTAAGTCTAAAATCTTCTGATTTTCACTGATACGTTACAAAATTTAGCTACAGTTTTACAGACTTCCTGATCCTAGTTGTTTAGTGGATAGTGCATAATTGCCATGTGGGAATGATCAAGAGAGTTTTTAATCAGAAAGGAGAGTAGCTTCCAGGGATGATAACTACTATAGGGCAATCCAGAAAAATGTGCAGCATGGTTTTAGAGTCTGAACAGGTATATAAATGCTCTTGATAAGGAATACCGTTCAATCTACTCAACAGTATAACTAATGATAAGAATATCTAGATGTGCCAATGTGAAAACTCTCCTAGGAGATGGAACCAGGCAATGGTACAAATATATAATAAAGGGAGGGTATGAACACTCATTATTGCATAAATGAGGTCTGTTCGTTCTATTTTTTTGTTAAATCTAAAATTCTTAGCCTGATTTCACTCCAGGTTTCATCCAAGCCTAGAATAGTGAGGGAGAATTAGTTGGACATTTTTTCCCCTATCCACAAATTTATTTAAGCCAATATTTTGACCAGCAGAATTGCAACTGAATTCAAATGAAATACAGCTAAAGTTTAACATTAGCAGTACATTAGCAATAAAATGGGGAACTTTTAGAAATCTTAAGAATTTAGCTTGAACAGCTTTCAATGCACAAATATCCTTGTAAGCACAATCCTGCGTCCTATATCGCAAGACTCCACACTTTTTAGAACTAACATTTAATAGCTGCAGCTCCACCATTGTTGCCCCTACATGTTAAGTGTTGAAAAGTTATAAAGAAATTGCCCCCTCCACGTCAAATTGCCAATTCCTCAGACTCTATCAAACCCACTACAATAATTACACTTTCCTTTTCTGTATCTTCAATCAAAATCGCCAACCTTCACTCAGAACTATGGTAGACTTTCCTTCACACCCTTCTCAGTTTCAATCTATGAGGGACACCATGAAACTTGCAGACAAAATACTGAGATGAAGTTAAGATAGGATAGTGACCCTGCTCTTTCTAATGCTTAATGCAGTCTTTCTAATGAAATCAATACAAAGATTTTAAACTTTTGCTGCAGTTGTTAAGTGAATCATTGACTCTGCTTGTCAGAAGTTATCTGAGAAGGTTGCAAATGGAAATCACATGGCCTTAGGACCATTGCAACTGTGATAAATATAGGCCAGTTGCCAAGCAACCATATTTTGATCATGTGACTGGGCATGCGGCAATGGTTTTCATTTTTTTTCAGTGCCTTTGTAACTTTGAATGGTCACTAAACAAATGGATGTAAGTTGAGGACTACTTTTAGCAGCCTCTCTACATTAATATCATATTTATCTCCTCTGTTCTGTCCCCAACCACACGCACACACACCAACAGACGTTCAAGAGTTAAAGACCAAACCAGCCGGCAAAATCCTTTTCCTTATGATAACGGAACTTGGCAACAACCTAGTGGCTACCTGCCAAGAGTTTATTATTTACAAAGAGGAGAGATAACTTCTCCCCACTTCTGGTACATCAAAAGAAACAGTCAATAATTACGGAGTCAATCAAGTCCAGAGATAATCCAGCAAAGTCTATAACAAAAGTCCGGCAATGCAGAATGGCGTGGAAGCTTTCAGCTTTGTTCGTCACAAGGTTTGACTGGCCACCACGCTCCCTTTTATATCCTGTGGGGTGTGGTCCAGTGACTCAGCCTAATCTCGGGCACGCCTTTTCTTCTGTTGTGCGCGCTTATCTCTGCCACGCTGGCATGGATCCAGCCAAGACTCATAACCCTCATCACTGACCATCTGTGGCTGCGTGGACGTGCTTGGCCCCGGCCCTATCTCTTGCCCTTCGGCGGACACCGAAGGCATTGCCAAAGAGGAGGGTCCTGGAGAGGGAGGCCTTGCCAACTCCTCTCCTTCACTCTCGGAGTCCTCTCCTGCCGAAGACACAGGCTCAGGTAACAGAGCCACAACATCCTCTAACCTTTGTGTAACTATGTCATTTCCCTCTATACCCATGATGGCGAACCTATGGCATGCGTGCCCAAGGTGGAACGCAAAGCCATCTTTATGGGCACACGAGTTGTCGCCCAATTCACTGGCAGCTGCGCATGCGCGCGTGGCCCAGCTGGTGTTCAGGCCTCTGGTGTGCATGTGCACAATTCAGAGGACTCAGCTGGTCTTTGAAGCTCTCCTGTGCATGCGTGTGCATTTGCGCAGATGGTGTGATCGCACGCACAGTGCACAGGGGGAGCCATGCAAAACCTGCATGCATGCGCAGATGGTGCGATTCCATACACAGCGCACAAGGGAGCCACGCAAAAGCCACACGCATGTGCAGATGGTATGGTTGCCCGCGCAGCGCACGGGGGAGGAGCAGCGTGTTACCTCAGATAGCATATGCGCACACAAACCTTTAAAGCGCTCCATGGCATAGAGCCGGGATACCTGCGAGACCACCTGCTGCTACCGATAACCTCCCACCGGCCAGTACGCTCGCACAGAGGGCCTCCTCAGGGTGCCGTCGGCCAAGCAATGTCGGCTGGCGGCCCCCAGGGGGAGAGCCTTCTCTGTGGGGGC